CTCTTTAACAAGTGGTGCTGGGAGAACTGGACAGCAACATGCAGAAGGTTGAAACTAGACCACTTTCTCACACCATTTACAAAAATAAACTCAAAATGGATAAAGGACCTGAATGTGAGACAGGAAACCATCAAAACCCTAGAGGAGAAAGCAGGAAAAGACCTCTCTGACCTCAGCCGTAGCAATCTCTTACTCGACACATCCCCAAAGGCAAGGGAATTAAAAGCAAAAGTGAATCACTGGGACCTTATGAAGATAAAAAGCTTCTGCACAGCAAAGGAAACAACCAACAAAACGAAAAGGCAACCAACGGAATGGGAAAAGATATTTGCAAATGACATATCGGACAAAGGGCTAGTCTCCAAAATCTATAAAGAGCTCACCAAACTCCACACCCGAAAAGCAAATAACCCAGTGAAGAAATGGGCAGAAAACATGAATAGACACTTCTCTAAAGAAGACATCCGGATGGCCAACAGGCACATGAAAAGATGTTCAGCGTCGCTCCTTATCAGGGAAATACAAATCAAAACCACACTCAGGTATCACCTCACGCCAGTCAGAGTGGCCAAAATGAACAAATCAGGAGACTATAGATGCTGGAGAGGATGTGGAGAAACGGGAACCCTCTTGCACTGTTGGTGGGAATGCAAACTGGTGCAGCCGCTCTGGAAAGCAGTGTGGAGGTTCCTCAGAAAATTAAAAATAGACCTACCCTATGACCCAGCAATAGCACTGCTAGGAATTTATCCAAGGGACACAGGAGTACTGATGCATAGGGGCACTTGTACCCCAATGTTCATAGCAGCACTCTCAACAATAGCCAAATTATGGAAAGAGCCTAAATGTCCATCAACTGATGAATGGATAAAGAAATTGTGGTTTATATACATAATGGAATACTACGTGGCAATGAGAAAAAATGAAATATGGCCTTTTGTAGCAACGTGGATGGAACTGGAGAGTGTGATGCTAAGTGAAATAAGCCAAACAGAGAAAGACAGATACCATATGGTTTCACTCTTATGTGGATCCTGAGAAACTTAACAGGAACCCATGGGGGAGGGGAAGGAAAAAAAAAAAAAGAGGTTAGAGTGGGAGAGAGCCAAAGCATAAGAGACTGTTGAGAACTGAGAACAAACTGAGGGTTGATGGGGGGTGGGAGGGAGGAGAGGGTGGGTGATGGGTATTGAGGAGGGCACCTTTTGGGATGAGCACTGGGTGTTGTATGGAAACCAATTTGACAATAAATTTCATATATAAATAAAAAAAATAATAATAAATAAATAAATAAATAAATAAATAAAAATAAAATAAATTATGAATGCTAAGTTGCTTCTTATCACTCCAAAATAAACTGGTCTAGGAACTAAAACAAGGTGTATGAAATTCATCCCTGCCATTTACAGCACTATTTGTGTTGCTGGTGGCCAGGAGACTCTCTCAGCCTGACACCACATGGTCATCTAACTAGTGAGAGAGTATCACAATGAGGGACAGTCACTAAACAGGTAGATAAAAGAAAAAAGGATCTCCTTTCAACAAATGGTACAGGAACAACAGGATATCCACATGCAAAAGAATGAAGCTGGGGCCCTTCCTCACACTATACACAAACATGAACTCAAAATTAACCATGGATTTCGATGTAAGAGCTAAAACTATAAAATCTGTAGAAGCAAACACAGGAAAAAATATGAACTTGGGTTAGGCAATGCCTCCTAGCTATGACACTAAAAGCACAAGTAACAACGGGGCGCCTGGGTGGCGCAGTCGGTTGAGCGTCCGACTTCAGCCAGGTCACGATCTCGCGGTCCGTGAGTTCGAGCCCCGCGTCGGGCTCTGGGCTGATGGCTCAGAGCCTGGAGCCTGTTTCCGATTCTATGTCTCCCTCTCTCTGCCCCTCCCCTGTTCATGCTCTGTCTCTCTCTGTCCCAAAAATAAATAAACGTTGAAAAAAAAAAAATTTAAAAAAAAAAAAAAAAGCACAAGTAACAAAAGAAAGAAAAATAGATAAACTGGATGTCATCAATATTACAAACTTCTGCACTGCAAAGGACACCTTGAAGAAAGTGAAAAGACAACCTACAGAATGGGAAAGTATACTTGCAAGTCATACATCTGACAAGGGACTTGTATCCAGAATAGGCCAAGAACCCATTACTCAGAATAAAAAAAGAAAATCTGAGCAAAAAAGGGCAAAGGATCTGAGTAGACATTTCACTGAAGAAGATACACAAATGGCCAATAAATATATGAAAAATTGTTCAACCTCATTAGGCAAGAGGGAAATGCAAATCAAAAGCACAATAAGATACCCCTTCACACCCACTACAATGGCTGTAAAAATTAAAAAAAAAAAAGAAACAGATAACAACAAGTGTTGGAAGAAACTGGAGAAACTGGAACTCTCGTTTGTTACCCGCCAAACTGTAAAATGCTGCAGTCACAGTGGAAAACAGTTTGGCAGGTCCTCAAAATACTAAATATAGAGCTGCCATATGACCCAGAAATTCCACTCCTAAGTACATACTGCAGACAAATAAAAACGTAAGACCACACAAAAAACTTGTACACAAAGAGTATACCAGTGATGTTCTTTCTAGCTTCAAAGTGGCAACAACCCACATGTCCATCAAGTGAGAAACGGATAAATACAACAGGGTCTATCCATATAATGGAACATTACTGAGCAATAAAAAAAGAAGTACCCATTTGTGCCACAACACAGATAAACCTTGGACACGCAATGGTAACTGGGAAAAAAGCCAGCCACAAAAGACCACATATTGCACGATTCCATTTACATGACATGGCCAGAACAGGCAAATTTATAAAAAAAAAAAAAAAAAAGAAAGTAGATTAGTGGTTGCCTGGGACGCAGGATGGGGAATGGAAAGTGACTGCTAACGGGAATGGAATTTCTTTTGGGGGCAATGAAAATGTTCTAAAATTAGATTGCGGCAACAGCTGCACAACTCTGTGGATATACTGAACACCACCGAACTGTACATGGAAAAGGGTGAATTGTATGCTATGTGAATTATACCTCAATAAAGCTGTTTAAAAAAACAGACGAAGGAAAGAAAATGAAAAAGATCTCTGCGTGAGCCCCACCAGCCACTGTCTGTGCGCTCTGGTAGATGTAGCGGCCACCCCTGACCGGCGGTAATGTGAAACAGAGACTAAAGTGGAAAGCTGGGGGAGCACTCGGAAGCGAGTTTAGCCATCTCTGTCCCTGATGGGGATCCGTCCCCTAGGCCTGAGGGTGACAGGAAGATGGTCGAGACTGTCAGCGGCCAGTAAGGACAAAATACACTTCCTTTATGCACTGACACCATTAGGAAATGATCCATTTGGAAAAAGACACAGACACCATCCTGTGAAGAATAGTGCCACACAAATTCAGAACGGGGTTTGGGCTCCAAAGGCAAGTTGCACCCCCAGAGTCTGTTGCTTCTCCTTCCACAACAGTGGAAATGGGAGAAGCCCAAAGCAGCCCCTGGGATCTGCGAGGCCTCGAGAGCAGTGTCAGGGCACATCTTGAGCACTGACATTAGTGCCCAGTCGAGCTCACTTGCAAAGTCATGCGCAGCAGCAGGTTTCTGCCCTCAACACCTCGCTCGATTTCACTAGAGGAAAACTGAGGCAAGTGACAGCCTTCCTTAAAGCCAAAGCCTTCTGGAGAAAAATGGTTTGTCCAAGAGCACTGTTCTCTCGGCTCCCGGCCATGTCCACAGGTGTGCCCCCCTCCCTCCAATGTCTGTTACAGCCAGTCATATGGGCATTTTGGATGCTCCACATGCAACCATTCTGTGCCGAGATGAGTGAAAACAGGCAATTTTCATGGGGACTGAGAAGAAATCACAAGCCACATCTACTGAAAGCTGGGTCTAAGGGTTATGAAGCTAACCATTCGCCCTGGGGCAACAGAAGACAGGTCAAGAGGGAAGACTGGCATCTCTATCACTGCCTTCCTCCTCGGAAAACGTGGGCCCCCATAAGAAGAGGGGTGGGAAGGAGACAAAGAGGAGGGAAGGAAGGAATCAAACCAAAATGCTACAGCTTTGTACTCGCTCGCCCCTTGGGGTGGTGGTCTCTTTCTAGGGGACTGGCAGGCTGTAATAGTACCACAGAGATGACTAAGATAAAATACAACCGTAAAATCACACTCTTCTATGGCCATGAATATAAATGTAAACATATTTACATTTACACATGCGTGAAGATTTAAAAGGTAGTCTCCGAACTCACTGATCTGATGGACTTACTTTTGGACTGCCGCGTGGGGTTTCACAGTCGCTGCCGATGCTGGCCCACCAACAGCGGTAGAAGTGTCTTGGTTTTCTGTAGCTGGGTTTTCAGGTCGGAATTTCCTTCGGATGGGCTTTGATGGAGGCTGAGAATACGGTATGTCCTGCGGATTAAATACAAAACAATAAAACCCAAAAGTTAAAAACCGAAATGCTCCCCCATTATGCCAAAGCCCCATGTTCCTCTAGGTCAGGTGTGTGCTCTGTTCCAACTCCACACCCGAGGATAAAAGGCAAATTCATGGCTTGGCAAGAACTGGAGGGACACAGGCATCAGGTTCCACCCTCCCTCTCTTCCTTTTCTGAACGCTGTGTGCATCTCACACCACGAGGCCTTTTCTAACTGAAGACAAAGCTCACTCTTGCCTCACTTTGGGGCTTGTGGGAATATGTTAGACGTTTTGAAGTTTGTGATGGTCTGTCATCTGCTCCTCATTCTTCCATTCCCAATTCCTACATGAAGTCAAGCTCAAGGGCCACAATGTCGTCTTCTAAATTTTTTAATGTTTATTCATTTTTTTTGAGAGACAGAGACAGAGGGGCGCCTGGGTGGCGCAGTCGGTTAAGCGTCCGACTTCAGCCAGGTCACGATCTCGCGGTCCGTGAGTTCGAGCCCCGCGTCAGGCTCTGGGCTGATGGCTCGGAGCCTGGAGCCTGTTTCCGATTCTGTGTCTCCCTCTCTCTCTGCCCCTCCCCCGTTCATGCTCGGTCTCTCTCTGTCCCAAAAATAAATAAACATTGAGAGACAGAGACAGAGCACAAGTGGGGGAGGGGCAGAGAGCTAGAGGGAGACACAGAATCCGAAGCAGGATCCAGGCTCTCAGCACAGAGCCCAACACGGGGCTCGAACCAGCGAACCGTGAGATCATGACCTGAGCTGAAGTCGATGCTTAACCGACTCAGCCACCCAGGTGCCCCAGCAAGAGCCACAATGTCTTCTGGGAGGAGACAGCCAGCCTGCTTCCTGGGAGGCCCCTCCTCACCCATGCTCCTGAGCCCAAGGCCAGTGTTCTGACCAGAGAAGGGTCTGAGAAAAATGGGACCAGTAAGAAGAGGATGAGGTGAACAGAGAACACAACGAGTGAGTGGTGCCTACTGAGCAAAATGACCTGGGACTCAGAGACATGGAGGAGGGGAGTGAGGCTAAAGTGAAGACACCAGGACTCAAGAGGGCACCATGGCCACAAAGAGCAGACTGCCCTCCCTCAGAGGCACTCCCAGAGGCTCAGCAGCACGCAGGGTTCTGCTAAAGGCACCTGGCCCTCCCCACCATACCGCCTGAACTTGCCAAAAGCAAGGCCGCCATATTTAACTGGGGTGTTGAAGAGGGAAGTGCAAACTGTCAGTGGCATCAAGGTCAGGCCCAAGAATCATCAGCACCCTAATCTTCACAAAGAACCCACATTCTAGGAAACCCGAATCATTAACATTCACCTCAGGACACAAAAACCATGAAAGAGATTTGCAAACAAAGACAAGAAGCCCAGGGGAGGGGCTCATAATGCCATGACAGTAGCACCTTCCCCTTGGCCTTACCTTCTTTGCTGGACTGCTCTCTGCAGCTTGGGAGGGGGCTCTGTTCAGCTGGGGGTGTATTTCAGCCTCAGGTGCTTGCTCAGACTGTAGCAAAATATCACACAGAAGATAAAAATGCAGAAACGTAACTACCTAAATATATAATGAAGAAAACTTAGAAAAAGTCGCTAAGTGGAAGTTGATTTAGACCAACTTACAGCCAAGCATGGTCAGGTCTTCAGATCCTTGAGAAAAAGTTCCCTACACCCTGTCATTCCCTCCCATGCTCCCTTCCAGCATTGTTCAATCTTAAGAAAAGAAGTCACGGTTATGTCTGTAACTGGACATACATATTGCAAAACACTAATGCCTTATAAGTGCAAACAAAAAAAAAAAATTAGGATTATCAGAAAAAAAAGGCACTGGGAAAGGAGTCAAAATTTTAACCCAAGTACTAACAAAAACAATAACCATAATAATAATAAAAAAACACTTTAAAAATATTTTTTAAATATATTAAATTCCTAAGAAAAACAGATAGGACTCTTTACCTTTAAAAAGGTAGGGATGGGAGAGCATGATGAAAGGAGTCAACAGAAGGGTTGAGGCCACGGAGTGGTATGGAATCAATGAATAAATGCACCAAGATTGGCAAGTAATGCTCCCAAAGCCCGTCAAGGCACAGCAGGTACCAGAGAGCCAAGCAGCAGAGCACAGGAAGACGAGGCACCACTGCTGCGCCCCCATCTCCAGGAGGCTTGCTACATTCAGCTGCTCTTAGTCGGCAATGCAAAGTGTTAACGTGCTGAGAAAAACCCTCCATGTAAATGAACTAACGGGACTTCGTGATAGTGACAACAGTCCTCTACCCACAAATTAAAATGCATTACAGGAACACACGCTGCAGCACAACCATCAGCCTTAGTGTGTCCAGTCTGTCCCTAACCCGGCCTTCTGCAACCTCTTGCATGGCTTCTTCCTTCCTCTGAGTCCACTGAAACAGACAAGGGCACCAATGCTTCCCCATTTATCAGATTCTTCCTGCCTCTTCCAGTTTTGTCACAGGCCTTCTGCCCAACACAGCACCCTTGACTGTCTTTTTAAAACTCCCATCCCTGGCATCTGAAGAACCGCAAAGTCCTACGGATCATCATTATCTTTCTTTCCTGTTTTGATTCCTCTCATCCCTCAGCTGTAGGATTTCTCAAGGCTCCGTCTTTGGTTCTCCCACCCTATACCTCCCACTGCCATTCATTCTTTCCCAGAGTAATCCCATCCGCTCCCACATTTGCACGGCCCTAGCCAGAAACCTCGGTTCCCAACCACCTCTGCACCTCTTTCAAACCCACTATGCAGGCTTTTGGTGCCTGATTTCTCGTTCCAAGTTTTGCTTATAGCCTTCTCCTTTCCATCAAGGATAACTGTATTGTTGTTGTCGATAGATATCTGAAACACCAAACACTGTCACAAGGTTCTCCGGGTGTTCCGCAGGGATGAAAGCATTTCCTCATCACAGCCCTAGGAAGTAGTCATTCCCCCCATCTTATTACTGAAGAAACTGATGATCAAGAAGTTGAGGAACTCACCCAAGATCACACAAACAGCCGAGTCTGAACCCAGGCCTCAGGTTCCGACGCTGGGCATGTGACGACTATGCAATACGGCCTTAGGTACTCTCGGGCCTGACTGGTAAGTCATTCAAGAAATATGTATTGAACAGCTACTGCAGGCAAGTCTTGTGCTAGAGCTGGTATTCAAGATAAATGATACCCAGACCATTCTTACAAGGAGCTTGAAGTCTAATGGAAAAGGCACAGAAACGACTGGGCAAGCATGCTTCGGTGGAATTCCAGACTATGGTGAGGAAGTATGGGGGCTCCAGGCACACCCAGGCCTTGCGGGTCAACAAAGACTTGGGTGAGACCTGAGTCTCAGGGTGCTGCCAGCTACTGGGGCAGTGCACGGGGATGGTAAGAAAGGAGGCTCCGGAACCCAGAACACCAGCTTAGCATGCCACGAGAACACCAGAGGCCTGTCCCCAAGACAGGAACTGTGAGAGAAGCAGGTGTAAGGCAAGCTCATTTTTAGCCATACCGGGTTTAAAACACCCAGGCAACATCTGAGCGAAGCTATCCGGGAGCCATTCCTTGTCGGGAGCACGGGGATTCCAAGCGTTCACCCGCCTTCCTTGGGTTCTGACAAATAATGTCCTGCTTCAACATCCGCGGGCCCGATGTCAGCTTCATTAAGGGGTGAGTGAGGGCCCAATAACCTCCCAAATGCAGGGCTTCCCGTGACCTGTGCAGAAGAACACAACTTGGACCTGAGGTCCCTTCTTGCCCTCCACCCGCAGATCTATTGCTTGGAACGTGAATGTCCTGGCCTCAAGCGTACGCACACAAGCCCCTGCAGGAGCGCAGGTACGCATTGGTACGTCCCTCCAGGGAAAAGGAGCCAGAGACCAGTCTCCTCACCTTTCAACTGCTCAGGTCCCCTCCATTATCAGGCAAAGGAGTGCTCGCCCTAATGCTCCCTTTCCTGGGGAGATGAGCAGTCTCCCTCTTGTAGTAACATTGAGGGAAATGATAAATCGAACCCTCTTTTCAACAAAAATAAGGATTCTGAGCACAGCAAAAGGAGTAGAATGTCACTGTCACTGCCTCCACACTCCCTTAAACATCTCTAAAAACAGGAATGTTGTGGGAGTTGGGAAGGATGAAAGAACAGTTTTAAGCATCTGACAATTTTTTCCATTCACGGGTTTACCTTCTGAAATTGTACACAAAGACTAGGTCTTCTAGCTCTACCACAGGGAACAAACCACTCCAGGGCGTCACGTCGGGCACAATCTAACCACCAATCTCCTTGGGAGGAACACCAAGAGGGCCCGTCACCACTCCATGACTGATTCTAAATGGGCCCATCTATTGAACATTCAGGGGAGTGAAATCTTGTGAGGAGCCTGGAACACGGAGATCAAGAAAGTCCTGGAAAGGCAGAGGTTCGCCAGAGCCAGAAATTATCCCAGGAAAAGAGACGAGGAAAGAAAACAAGCTTTGTGATAAAAACAAACAAACAAAAACAAAGATGGGATTTAGAGGTACAAAATAAACAATTTCACTTGCATTCAAGAAACTAGGGTAAGGCTTAGCAGCTGGAAAGCAGAACAAACCTGGAAGATTTCGTTGCTATTTCTTCAGACTTTTCTAAGGTAACAACTTGGAGAGAATGATAACCCATGAAAACAGGGGGACCTCAGCAGCTCCCCTTTTCCTGCACATATTGAAGAAAGTAGGGAACAACTCTATCAATATGGAAAATAGGCCCTTGTCTGAAAGTTTTGAAGGTCTGAACTGAAATCCAATGCCTGAATCTTGTAAAAGAGACAAGTATTTGGATTACAATTACTAGTACAAATGGCAGTCCTTCCCTCACGGTTCACTGTGTAACACGTACCCAGCCAGGATGTGGCAAGGCAGGAAAATGTACTTTTAGCCAAGAGCTCACTGAAACTCAAGCTTAGGTTCCTTTTCAAAATATATATCTCATATTTTAATTTTGATACTGCCCTATCCACAAATGAGACATATATTTTCATTCTCATCTTGCAATGAAAAGCCTGTTTAAGTCACGTGCACTTGGAAGGTACTGCCACTCAGGACACGGAGATCTGTTCTGGGGCTTTGCCCATTCCTATGGCTGATAGGACAATATAGACCCTGCTCAGCTGGCCCGCCAGAAATGGACACAGGGCCAGGAAGGCTAAGCATTGTCCACCAGAAGTAGCGTTTGTTTAGCTATTTAATTACACAGATATTTATTTTGTATACATCATGTATCACTTTCCAAATAACACTCATGTTCTACTTCTAGGGAACTAGACCTGAGACACCAGGCAAACTGCTCCCAGAATAGGAGGGTTAAAGCCTTCTGATGTGCTCCTCCTTGGTTTCTCTCTCAGATCACTTGTTCTGGAAAAAGTCAGCCACCACGTTGTGAGAACACTCAAGCAGTCTTAACAAGGGGCCCATGTAGCAAGGAATTAAGGCCTCCCACCGACAGCCATGTGGGAGAGCCATCTTTGAGATAGATCTTCCAGCCCCAGTCGAGCCTTCAGTTAACTGCAGTCCTGCCTGACATCTTGACTGCAGCCTAATGAGACCCCATAAGCCAGAACCACCAGATTAGTTTCTCCTTAATCTCTAACCCACAGAAACTATGAGACAATAAATGTCACCTGTTTTAGGCTCCAAAAACACCCATTCTCCTAAGTCTGAAATATGGAGTCTAGTAGGGCGGAATAAGGGTGAACAGTAGAGAAGAAGGAGAGCACTACAGCTGGAGAACAACAGTGCAGTGGATCACACGTGGTCTTAGAGATCACTGTCCCAGATGGTCTAGTAGCTACTCAGCACCATTCCCCCACTTGTGTCGTCTTCCCTATGTTGCAGGGGTAGAAGCCTGGGAACAATATTTATAAAATCCCCTTTCAATAATGCTCCTTGTTGACTCGGAGAGTCACTCACGTTAAACCAAGACGGTGAAAGAAAAGAAGCTGTATTACTGCTCCTCTGGCAGTGGTGGAAAGAAAAGCATGGGGCTCAGCCGCAGGAAGATCTTGTAGTGGCCTCAGGCATTTCCCCACAAACCGTTACTTAGATGCTGCGGGCAGCCTGAGCATCTCCAGCTGTTTCCTTTAGTTCTTGCAAAGTCTTAAGGTTCAGAAAATTCTGGCCAACCTGACTGGTGGCCTTCCCTCATCTTTGCTCCTCTAGCAATCTAATTCTTTAAGTATCTAATTCCTTAAATGAAATCTCTTCCAGGGTGACATACCTAGAATGGTTTCTGTTTTCCCCACCAGATCTTGGCTGATACATCCATGTTGAGGATTTGGAGCTTATCCAGAGAGCCATAGGTGGAAGGGGGCATGGAAAGATTTTAAGTAGGGAAGTGATGAGACTAGATTTGCATTTTAGAAAGATTACTCTGAATCCAGTGAGTAAAATGGATTAAAAGGAACCCATCTTGGGGCAATTCACTTAAAAGCCCAAAAATGAAAACAAGACAAGAGATGACGGTCACTTAAAGCAATCTGGTGGGAGTGG